TAAAAAAAAAAAAAAAAAAAAAAGACAGATAATAGAAAGTAGGGAGATCTACAAGTAGAGGAACAAGAGTTGGAGGGAATAGGAAAGGATGGGAGGAGATTGGGACAAAAAAATAAGATGTGTTATGTACATGTATAGACTCCTCAATTATGTACTACAAACATATATTAATAATAAATAAATTAAGCTAGGTATGGTGGTGCATGCCTGTAATCTCAAGACTCGGGAGGCTGAGGCAGGAGGATTGTTGTGGGTTTGAAGCCAGCCTGGGCTATATAGTTCCAGGCCAGCCTGAAGTACATAGCAGAGACCCTGTCTCAACCCCCAAATAAATTAAATATAAAAAAGCAACATACACAAAATTCTACGGGTGGTTATCATGCACACTCTGGAGCCTGGGGCTCTGGGTTCAAATCAGAACCACCATTATAAGCTCTGTGATCTCAGGTAAGCTACACAGCTTTGTGCCTCTGCTCTCCACCTGCAAAAACAAACAAACAAAAATAAAACAGGAAGAATAATAGTAGGTATCCAAGGAGTTTGAGGAAAATTAACATACTTGTAAAGTGTTTTCTTAGGTGTCATCTATTGCTACAGTAGCAGCCGAAGAGTCTGCACCTGAGGAGAGCCTTGAGCACACTGAGGTCACTTTCCTTACCTGGCCAGCCTGCCGGCGCTGACTTTGTGTCTGCCCTCTTCAAGTGCTCACCTGAGAGGAGGATGGAGGCCCCTGGAGGCACCAAGGTGGGCCAGAGAGGGAAGGCTGGGAGGCAAGGTGTGGTGTTACTGGAACCAGACACCAGACTGGTAAACAGCTCCAAAAGCCCTAGCCTCACGAGGGCCCAGACAATCCTGCTGTATAGTTCAGCAGTCAAAGTCACCAGGGAGCTTTGGGAGGGACTCAGGGGCAGGAGACAGCTTCAGAGGGACAGGGCCAGGTCCTGCGTGGGTCACCCAGGGCTGCCATCTGCTCTTCTGAGGACCCTGGCCAGACTGGACCGTATTCTGAAGGGAGGGTTTGGTTTTGTGTTTTTTAAGACAGGGTCTCACTAAATTGCTCAGTCTGGGCTCAAACTTGTGATCCTCCTGCTTCAGCTACCCAGAGTGCTAGGACGATAGGCAGGCACCACTGTGTCCAGCTAAATATTTTGGGGGTTTGTTTGTTTGTTCTGGTACCAGGGCTCGAACTCAGGACTTTGCGCTTGAGGGGCAGGCGGTGGCACCACTGAGCTACATCCGCAGCCCTTAAATATTTTGTTTTTTAAGGACAAAAATCTCTGTAAATCTAAGTGGGGAAGCATATTTCAAGAGCTGTGTGTCTGCAGGGTCTGAGGTGCAGAGCTGGGTCTGATACAGGGGCGGGGATCCATGATCCCAGTTTCTGTGTTAACCTTTTCTTCTCTGCCACTTGAGCCCTGCAGTTGCCAAGCACCCTGTCCCGAGTCCCGTCCGCTCTGCTGGGCTCCCCCCTCTTCATCTCTGAGTCAGGGGTCCACAAACTCTGGCCTCTAGCCAAATCCTGCCCCACTGCCTGTTTCTGCCCAGCTTCTGAGCTAAGAATGGTTCTTACATTTTTAAATGGTGTCCGGGAGCGGGGAGAAGAAGACTGTTTCGTGACACACGAATGGTCTGAGATTCACATTCTGGCATCTGTAAATGAAGTTTCACTGGCACACAGCCCACCTTCACCTGGAGTCTGCAGCTACTGGTGCCTCAAGGGCAAGCTGAGTAGTTGCCTCTAACCTCAGCCAGAGGTTTTTAGGAAACCTTTGCTGACCCCTGAGCTAAGGCCCTGCTTGAGATGAACCAAAAGCAAAACCGACATCTTGCTCAGCCTCCTCCCCTCTGTGACCTTCCCTAGGTCTGTGAATCACACTGTTAACACCACTTTCACTTGTTTGTTATGTCTTTGTTCCCTCCTTCCCCAAGGGCCTGGTCCTTGTCCTGCAGGTTTAAATTCCCTCATCATTGAGTATGTTGCCTGGTTGTCAATTGATACTGGTTTAAATATTAGAAAATATAGTAATCCCGGATACTCAGGAGGCTGAGGCAGGAGGATGGAAAGCTCAAGGCCGATCTGAGCATCTTAGTGGCATCATGTCTCAAAATTTAAAGATAAAATAAAAGGGCTGGAGATGTTGCTCAGTGATAGAGCACAAGACCTGAGTTCTAGTGGGGGGGATGGAAATATTGTAAATATTGAAATCTGGAAGGCCACCCATTCTATAAAGTGTGTGCCGTGGTCCCTAAGATGTGTAACACTGCGTGGAGGAAGGGTGGCTAAGACCTCCCTGGGCAGTATGGGATTATCAGCCAAAACTTTAAAAAACATTAAAAGTAGGTCACACGCTCATGAACCTTGTAGACCATGTCAGCCCAAAAATGTGTTTTGCTGGGGTTTGCTTCTGTTCTGATTTTTTTTTTTTTCAGTTTCTTGAAACAGGGTTTCATTTATTCATTCAGGTTGGCCTTGAACTCACTATGTAGCCCAGGCTGGCCTCCAACTCGCAGCAGTCCTCCTGCCTCAGCCTCCCGAGTGCTGGGATCACAGGCACGCGCCACCACCCACCACGCCTGCCCTGATTTTCCTTTGACTTCAAAGTCAGTGTAAACCTGACCCAGGCCACATCGGTCACAGACACTGTCCGCCCGACCCTGTGAGCACTTGAGTCAGCCACAGAGAGTCAAAGAGTGTTACAGCCATGAAACCCAGGAGCCCTCAAGAGGCCAGAGCTGGTGGGACACCAGAACCCCCCCAGCAAGGAGTGAAATACGAATTGCCAGGCCCACCACAGGCTGCCAGGCCAGATATGGGTGTTTTTTTAATATTCTCTCCGAATGCTTATGCATGACAGGTGGGAACATGTACTTAATCAGGCTCCGCAGGTGCCAATTTAGCTTCCCCGTCAATATAAATGCACCCATCCTGGCCCAGCAGTTCCCGGACACTGGCTTCTCTCAGAGCGGTGCTTCTTAGGCTCCAGTGTGCAGAGAGGCCCCAGTCTGGGTGGTCGGGAACACGTCACACACCGTCCAGCATGCACAGGAGAAGACATTACAATCTGAGCACCGCCGGTGAGCAGGGACGGGGCAGCCCCTGGTCTGGGGCCTCCTAGGACAAGAGTCCAAGGTGAAACCCGATACCTTGACCTTTGCGGTCCAGCAACTGCTCGGGAGCTGCCGGGAGCAGCCCCTGGCAGCGCTGATCTCCAGCGCTCCTCGCACCATCTGGTCCAGCTGCCAGGCTGAGTCACACGCAGGCAGGGGACGGCACAGGACCTGGGCGCGGGGTGGGGGAGGGCAGTAAGGCCCCGAGGGAGGTCACTCTTCCCCCGGGAGAGGAGATCTAAGCTTGACACCAGTCTGGGCCACAAACAGGCCGAGGGTGGCGGCCATCTAGGTCTTCCGGTAAAAGTCCTCCACCAAAACTCTCCAGCTTCCTCCGGGAAGCCTCTGGCGGCATGCATGAGAGACAGGATGATACTAAAAGTAACTAGCACATATAAAGCACCTACTATGTGCTGCTAACATCTGTCTTCGGCACCTGGAAGATTAAACACAATGAATCTTCATTGCTACCATTATTGTCACGACCTCCAACATCATCCTCATCACCCCCACTTTCCAGAGGAGGAGACTGAGGCACAGGGCAGTGCCCAGTTCACCGAGGTACAGCTGCATTCTGAGGCAGTCAATATGGCCCACGGGCCCCTACCCTGAACCTCCCAGCTACCGGGCTCGCGCTCCTGGCCCTGGGCGGTGATGCTGAGATGGGACCCTGCTGGGTGGGTCTGTGCCTGGCTGTGACCCTGAGGCCCTCCCCGGGCATCACCATCAGAGCAACCATCTCCTCCCCTGAAAATGAGGCTCCTGCTGACAGCGGCGTCCTTCGGGGTTGAGTCGAGGTCCTGAGGGCCGGCACTAAGGGTCTGTCCTCCCAGGACCTCATTAATATAATCATCACAGCCTGGCATCAGCCAGAAGGAGGTGTTAGAAACAGCTGGGAAATACCTAGTCCCGAGCCAGCAGGAATCGAAACCTCTTTTTAGCAATTCCTTCATACCTTTCACCCGCAACGTGGGACCTAAACGTCTTGCCTTTTCCCCCCTGTTCTGTCCTCCCCTCTAAGAAAGAGAGGTGGGCTGGAAAAGAACCGGCAAAGACCTTGATTGCAATTAAAACCACTTTGTTTTCCTTTTAAAAATCTTGATTTCTGCTGAGAGGCCTTTACAGAAGTCAGACCCACCTGAGCATCATGTGCAGCCCAGCAGCAGAGGGACAAATGAAATGTGTCTTTCAAGGTCACTTCCACCTCTGCGTCCCTGGGAGACTAATTGGATTCAACAATTATTCAGTGAGAGGGGACATTGTTCCAGGCACCTGCTGGGGACCGGAGACCCAGCACTAAATGAGATAGACAAAAATCATCATCTCATGGAGCTGACATTCTAGGGAGAAGACAATTAAAATGTGCCAAGTCATCTAATATCAAGTTTCAATAAATGCCATGGGGAAAGAAAACAAAATAGAGAAAAAGAATGGACAATAATCAGAGGAGGCCTCCTGTAGACATTTGAGAGGAGAGCCCCTAAAAGCTCACTAAAATGAGGATATGTAGAGAAAGTATACTCTTGGTTGAGCAAGCAGCACGTGCAAAGGCCCTAAGGTAGGACCAAAGGAGAGACCGGTAGGGAATGAGTTTGGAGAAGCAGGCAAGGCTTTGCTTCTCTCCTCCTTCCTTCTCAGCTGAACAGGTGAGGGCAGAGGCCTGCTGCCCCACCTCCATCCCAGAGCCACAGGAAGCTAATGGATAGGAAGGTGTTTTAGGAGACTGAGCAGGGTAGCAGTGTTTTAATGGACGTGCTGGATGAAGCCCATGCCAGGGGCACTTTGGGACACTGTGTTTTCTCCCCCCTCCTAGGGAGTCCACGTTACTAACTACCACGTGGAGAGAGCCCAAGTTTCAAACATCTCCACCCTCTCATTTGAGGGATGGAAAAAAGCAGGGCTCAGAGAGGGGAGGACAAGTGCCTGAGGTCTTATAGCAAATTTCAGAGCCAAAGCCCTGGGCTCTGGGATCTGGCCTGAGACAGGAACAAATACCCCAATACCAAGCCATACCCTTGGGGGGTTGGCAAGTAAACAAAGTCAGCTTTCTTTCCTCCTTAAGGAGTTGTCACCTGCGCAGACTAGAAGGGAGAGGATTTGGAGTGACTGGGGTAGTAACACGTAGCAAAGCGAATGAAATGTGTTGGTGAGGAGTTTCTCCCCAGATGGGCTTGTTACTCTCAGCAAGCAACTTCTCATCTTTGTGCTTTTCAAAACACTCCCCTAATTTTCTTAGGTCAGCACAGCCCATGGTAAATAAGTCTTGGACAGATGAGGAAACTGAGGCCCAGAGCAGTGAAATGACTCATCTGAGGTCTGTGGGCCCCATTGCACAGAGCTAACATTTTCCTCTAGAACTCACCGTAAACAAGTGTAGCATAATGTCATGAACAAGACAGCTTCAGAGGATACAAAGCTATGGCTGGAGTAAAACAGAGGGATGGGCGGAACTAATTTAGAAGTGGCCAGAAAAGGGCCATGGGGGAGGTGACATAGGAGCAGGGCCTGTCAGTAGCCAGAAAAGGGTTCCAGGCCAAAAGATGGCAAGCGCAAAGGTCCTGTGGCTGAAGTGAGCTTGGTGTTGGAGAAACAGAAAGGCAAGGCCACTGGGCCTAGAGCAGAATGGATTGGGGGAGAGTTGAGGGTGATGGAATCAGAGAGGTGGGGCAGGGCCAGACTCTGCCTGGTCTTGCAGGCCACCATAAGTCCTGTGGTTTCAATTGACCTAGCAAACACCCAGTCAGGGCTCTATGATCAGGGGCAGAGCTGAGCCATAAAACCCAAGTATCCTTCTTCAGAGCCAAAGCTTGCATTTCCACAGCTCCCTCCGACCCTCTCCACATCCTGGTTCCTCTGCTACCCTGGCAGTTTGTGGTTGCATGTGACTCTGTCTT